GCCTGTTCTGCTCCCCACTCTGTCTCTGGTGAATCCTCTCACCCTCCGCATTTCTGGCCTGTACCCCGGTTCTTAAAAAAAAAAAGCTAAAATTTAATCCAATCGCTTATTAAAAGTGCTTCTCAAAACTGACTGGGTATCTGATACATCTTGAAAGCTTTTTGAACATACATTTACTTGCCTGGGCCCCACCTGTGACCAATTAAGTCAACATCTCTCAGGTGTGAATCAGGCATCCTCAATTTTCAAAACAGGGTTTTTTTTTAAAAAAAAAAAAACCTCAAAACTAAAAGTACATAAGAATGAAAGACTATAATTTTCTCTATAACTGCTTATAAGTTAAAAGGAAAAAAGACAAATGTTGCTTCATGTTGATTTAGATAAACAGGTGTTCAGTTAGCTCCATGAGCTTATATATTTAATTCCTTCCCCAGGTCTGGGAAATTTTCAGCTGTTATTTTTGTGTGTAAGCACTAAGCTCCCAGTATAATTAATTCTCTTTTGTGCATATGTAAAAACTTAGTAAACATTAAAAATACAACAGCTAGACTACAAATACTAGAAATACAATAGCTAGAATATAAACTCTAAATTTTAATTATAAGGATCAATTAAATGCTAAAGAATGAAAATAAAAATATTTGCATATCAATAATAATCTGCATGTTATTTATAATTCTTATTTAAGGAAGCTTTCTTTTAACATGTATTCAAGGTAAAAACATTTACTAAACAAGGATACCAAAAGTAAATTTTTATTTTCTAATAAGTTACTTTTGTGTGAAGTACTGTATCGTAGGCCCAACTATTGCTAATCTCCTGGTCCAAATATAAGGATAAATCTACAAAAAACTCTGCCAGCATTTTTAAATAAAACATGATTACAAGCAACAAAGTAATCTTATATCACACTGGTACCCTTTCCTGTTGTAACAGCTAACCTCCATTAATGCCCTACAAAGTCCAATAGAACATATTTTTAACTGTCTGATATCTTTTTCCCTTTTGGATATACATCTTAATTTTATTATTTTTCTTATATGGGTAATAGAATACATGAAAAATATTAGCATGATTATAAATTTTTATTACCTGCCAAAATATATATGATCAGTAACTGTCATAATCCGTCTACTATGAAGTGGGTAGTGATGACATCACTTGCACTCTCAAGAGGTGTATAGTAGTAACCCTAAAATTTGTGAACTAGGATGCTATCACAGCTGTGACAGTACAACAGTACAACTCTCCAGGCTCTACATCAAATGTTACTGAATGGTAACAATGGCCTACTTTCAGTAATGCACCATTCCTTACACTATACAGACTCTTCAGGTATCTTTACTAAGGAACCCTCGTTTAACTGTTGAAAAATATTTTAAAAGTAAAGTGACAAAGAATTTAAATTACCCAGGAAAATAACATCATCAACACAATGCAAAAGCAAATATTACATGCTTCATATTCTATTTCATATTCTTAGAAGAAGCTTCTGACTTTGTAATTTATACATTATTAATTTTAGTCTTCCCAGGACCATTTTTATATCCTGAGAATATATCTACAGGCCTTCCTATTAATGAAAAATCTTAAAAAGAAAAAAAAAGCCAATTCTCATTTCAGAGTTGCAAGAAAGCCCAGAATATCCTGTGCTTTAAAGATGACTATGATAAAGTGGTGAATTATGAATATTCTCAAAAGGCTGTGTACTATTTTTCTGTTCACTATCCTTGAAAGTAGTTTTTATACAAAGGCATCTTACAAGACACCAGGTTACACACACCTGCAGACATAATGTATAAGAAGTAAATCTTTAAGAAAATAGTCTAATTTGATTGGAGCCCTAATTTTTCATTGGTTGTTCTATTAATATTGATTTAATGAATACAAAGCAATTATACACTTCGGTTGCAAAATCAAGAGAATCAGTTACACACTTCTATCATAGAAGTAATGATGAAACCATAAATCTGGTTGATTATTTAATAAAACCAAAAACCTTGAGTTATTCAATTTCCTTAAAATTAACAAAAATAAAATGAATGTGACACATTAATACTTAATTTTGACAAATATTTCTTTAGATAAAATATGAACAAATCTCATAATTATTTTAAATTTAAAGACTTAAGAAATACCACTCTACAATCTGTAACATAAAATGAAATTATCTCCCTATACTTTTAATTATAAAGAAATAAATAATTTTTACTGTCGGGTTATCCCTGCTTAAAAAAAGCAAAGGACAGTGGAAGGTTTTAATCTTCCTTTCAATGAGTGACAGGGCAGGTTAACATCATAGGACAAATTCTCTTTAAAATATCAGGAAAAATAAGAAATGATATGTGAATATAATTCTTTTCATCAACAAGAAGTAAAAACTTCTTAGCCAAAAGATTAAAATTAATATTAAAGACCAACAGACTTCATGAAACATTGGATGCAATCTGAGAAAACACATGCCTTTTTTTTCTTTTTTGCATATTATTTTTTGCTTTTATTTTTATCCTTTATTTTTTTTCCTTTTGTTCTCATTTGGGTACACTGAAATACTTAAAGTGTTTCAGTCAAAAATGGATAGATTCATTCTAATCAGAAAGAAAAAGTAAATTAATCAAAGGGATTTTATTGTAATTCTATAAAGTTATTAGCCTATATTCTTCAGAAATATCAATCTTACGCAAAAAAAAAAAAAAAGACTGAGAAACTGTTCTAAACTAAAAGTGACTGAAAACATTGACAACCAAATGCAAAATATAATCCTGGATTGGACCCTGTATCAGAAAAACAAAAGTAATAAAGGACAGTATTTGGACAACTGATGAAATTAAATGAGTTACAGGTAAAACGAAACCATTATGTCAATTTTAATTTTAAACTGATTGCTGAAATATGGTTATATAAGAGACCACCTCTGTTCTTAGGAAAGACACAACTTAAGGAGTGAAAAGGTATGATGTATTCAAGAGGCAGATAATTATAGGCCATATGTGGTAGAATGTTGAAAATTGCTGTTTCTAGGTAAGGGCATATGGGAATTCTTTGTACTATGCTTGTAACTTTTTTGAAAGTTTGGAATTATATCAAAGTGAAAATTTTTAAATTATTCTTAATGATTAAATCAATGTTAATACGAAAAGATTTTCACAATAAAAATTGAAAAATCAAGTTTGGCAAAGTGGTATGATTGGTAAAAATTATTTGAGAAGTGACAAGAAGTTTGTATTAGAGTGCACATAAATAAATAAATAATTTTCTTAATCAAACAAGATCTTGCCATGGGAAAAAGCTGTACCAATGTAATGAATCAAATGTCAAAACATGACATTTTCTTATGTTTACATGCCACCAACAATTCTTCCAAAAGGATCTCACTTACAGCTGATCTTGAAGTTCCACAATTATATATTCTAATTGTTCTTTTTCCAATTTATGGGCCAAATCAGAACCTTTAATCCTTTGAAGTAGTATTTTGTTCTGGGAGACTGATTCAGACAGCTGGTTCTCTCGAAGTCGTAATAATTCTTCAAGATAACCCTGGAAATTAAATATAGTAACTGCACATTTCAAAATATATATCTTAAATATAAATGCTAAGTAACTTAAATGTTCTTTTAATCTATAGGTTTATTTCACATGAATAAAAGATCGGTTTCTTAGGAAAGGAGGGTTAAAAAGAGGCATAACCTACAGAGTCAGAGGCTGGCAGGAGAGCTGCCTCTTAATTTTACTGTAATGACATGATATCAAAGTATCTGATAAAAATAGTAAAAATTTTCAAAGGAACACAAATATTTAACATATGCTCACAGCTCTAAAGTTTAATAAAATCTTTATAATTTGAGGTAAAACTTAGTTAAAATATTTTGATTTCTAAATCCCCACATTAGTGATATTCTACCTGCCTCTTAGGGTCAATATGCAGACTGAATTACAGAATGGCCAATTTAAAAATTGTCTCTATGTGATTATTGTTCAAAATCAGAGATTAACATTTTATCCTTAACAAATAAGTGGGAAGTAGTATGTTTTATTTAGGCCTTCAGGCTTTGTCAAGGAATTGCTTACTGTTATACCAATTCTATTATTTATCAGCTAATTGTCCTTGGGTTAGTTATTAATCACTTTAAGGCACAGTTTCATCACATAAAAAAGTTACAATAAATATACCTGGTTAGGAGGATTAAATGGATCAATATAGGTAAATGGTGCCCGTTACACTGTATGTAACGTATTATTATTAGCAAAACACCAAATAGATATGAAATTTCTACTGACTCCCTCTTAACTTTTTACTTATTTATTGTTTCTTTGTTTCAGCTCTGCTTTCTAGGAGACTTAATAGAATTTATCTTCCAAATGCTTCTGATAAATTTTTAAATTCGGGATGTCATCTGTTAATTTTCAACAGCTCTTTTACGCTTTGTGGTTGTTCCTGTCTCATGGCATCCTATTCTTTTCAGTAGCAATGTGCTTCCAGATTGCTCTCAAAAAGTTTCCTATATTCATTGTTATCCTATTTATGTGTCATTAACACACTGTTTTAGCTATTCTAACTTTATGACACATTAACAGTAGCAACTGCTCTTATCCCCTACATGAACTTTTTTTCAGATATTTCACTAAAGAGTCTCAAATTTGTTTTCATAAAAAAACTAAAAATCAATTGTCCACATATTCAAATTAACATAAGCTAAATATGGCTATAAACATTAGTATTTAAAGAATATTCATATTCATATATTCCAAAATAAAAGACTGAGAAACTGTTCTAAACTTAAAGTGACTGAAGACAATTTTATCTTGATTAATTACTAAGACTTTATACCTCCTATAGTGCCTTTCCTGGATCATACATACTCCTTGCTTCCTCTGCAAAGATAATAATGTCTTCAGATCCCCTTGGTTTTTTCAAAAAAAGATTTATTTACGCATACAAGAACTGAGGTGTAGGCCATAGGTACAGAGGGAGAGTGAGAGGATTCACCAGAGATAGAGTGGGGAGCAGAACAGGTGGATCTACTAAAATACACTGCTGATGGGAACAATGAGTAAGTGAGTTCTGCTGTGCCAATGGGGTCAGCTCCCTGGTCAGGGATTGAGTTGGTGCTGCAGAGGCTGTCAATAGCTTCAAAGTACTGAGACTCAACTCTTAGGGCACCAGAAAAGCCCCCATCCCTTGCTTTTTTTTCCTTTTAGCTTTATCACAAGTGTATTTTCCCTTGAATAATATATTGTTTAGTTTTCCTTATATTTTTTGAAACTTGCTTCTTTTTTTTTAAAATCTCATTGTTTAGTTCTATACTGATGAGATTAGGTACTGTTCATTCACTCTCAATACTGAGTGTTGCAGTTTATTTATTCACTCTACTATAAATGGTCCATTAGCTTACTTTAGGTTTTTCGTAAACAATATTCTTGTGAACACACAATTATATGTCTAATTCTGTAAATATGTGTAACAAGAGACACATATTCAATAATTTCTAGAACATAGGACTAGTAGTGGAATTGCTAGGGCATAGACTACATATAGCTTCATGTTCATACTATTTTTATTTTTTATTTTTTTTTAAAGATTTATTTATTTGTGCATACAGAACTGGGGTACAGGCCAGAGGCTCAGGGGTGGCGAGAGGCTTCACCAGAGACAGAGTGGGGAGCAGAACAGGCAGATGGAGGAAGTACACTGCTGAGGGGAGCAGCGGGCGGGTCAGGAGAGGTCTGCCACGCCATGTGGTCACCTCCGGGGCAGGTGGGAATTGAACTCATGCGGAAGTGGCTTTAGGTTCTTAGTGCAGTGCTTTAACCCGCTGCGCCACCAGGGAGGGTCCTATTTTTATATTTTTAATGATATTTCTATCTGATATTATATTCACATTACCTTATATTAACATTGAAATTATACTAAATGCACAAAGTACATTAGAAAATAACCTTATTTTTCTATTTTCAGAATAGTCAGTATAAAATAGAGATCACTACCCTTTGAATATATGGTAAGCTTATTTCTAGAACCAAACAAGTTTGGTGATTTTGGTGTGTATGAAGGGATAGATTTTAATCTTGTTATTTACTTTGTTTAACAGTTAAAAGTCTGTCACTTTTGAGAAATAATATTTATAAAAATTCTTCATCTCATTTTTCTAAGGTATCGACACTAAATTGCTAGTTATTTTCTATAATTAGCTTTATTTTCAAGCATCCTCTCATCCTTTCTAATAGTGTTAATGTTTTGTTTTGCTTTTTAAAGATTTATTTATTTGTGCATCCAAAAACTGGGGTACAGGCCAGAGGTGCAGGGGCAGTGAAAGGATTCACCAGACACAGAATGGGGAGCAGAACAGGCTGACTGACAAAGTACGCTGCTGAGGGGATCAGTGGGTGGGTCAGGAGAGGTCTGCTGTGCCATGTGGTCACCTCCGGGGCAGGTTGGGATCAAGCTTTAGCTTCTTAGTGCTGTGCTTTAATCCACTGCACCACCAGGGAGGGCCCAGTTATTGTTTTAATTCCACTTTACTTCTAAGTGGCGAGATACTCTTCCAAGCCCTTCCAGCTTGGAAGAGCTAACTGTTAAATTTTAAAAACTTAGTAATTCATTTGTTAAATAATGCTAGTATTAAACTTTTAATTATCTATAAAAAGGAAATAAACTACTATACCTCATGAGTTCCTAAGTATTTTACTATTATCAGCTGTATTTTGAAGTCATATATATCTTTTTTTCCTCTGGTAGAAATACCACACAATAGTTTACTACTGTGCATCTCTTCCCAATTTTGCATTCAGTGATGTCAATGACCACCATGGGAGCATTTACCCATTTGCTGGTAAATCAGCAAAAGCTAAAAATTAGAAATTCTATTTCCTCCATGAGGCAGCAATTAAGTATCTCTCAAACCATTACTACCCTATAATAGTCAGTAATGTAGTCATTGTTTCATATAGTCAAGGCTTACTTACCAAATTCTGTATTTACTCTGCTATTTTGCATTTCATTCCCGGCTTTCTACTTTCAGTACAACCTCAGTAATAGTGGCCTATGTCTCTGGTTTCCTTTTTGGTGTTTAATTACAAGGGGACTGCCCCTTAGCTCCAGAGTCAAGTGCCTGCAATGCCTTTTAAAAGTTATGACTTATTCCACATTTTAAAAGATAATTCTTGTAAGTCTGGTGCTTAGTGAGCTCCTGTTCAATGAGAGAGTGGCCCTACAGGAAACTCTTTAAAAATCTTTATTATAGTGAGGGATTTCAGATTTTTGTGACTATCTTTCAGATTATTTTTGTCTGACTTTTTGCTGTTACCAGACATCTTTAACAGGACATTAGAGTTTTGTTCAAATATATGAGGCATATTTTTGTAGCTACTATAAATGCTTCTTTGTCTTCTCTAATTAGTAGTTGTTTATATATATGAATCTATTTGTATTTGTATTTGTAAATTAATTTTATTACTATTTCCTGATAGAACATATTTTAATGTCTATATCTATTACTAATTCTACTGCATGTTCCATATGAATAATGAATAATACCCTTTGAAAGGAAAGATAAAAGTGAAAATAATAATGCAGTTCATTTTAAAAAGAAATTTTAACACCTCAAGAAAATGGAGTTTATTTATTGCTGTGGCTTGAGTTTGACATCTGGCCAGGGAGTTCACCTACATATGGCAAGTAGACTTCTGTCTTCCCTCAGCAATATGTTTCCTTAGGTCCACCTATTCTGCTTCCTACTCTGTCTGGTGAATCCTCTCACCCTGGAATCTCTGGCTACACTCTCCCAACCCCCACACCCACACACACACTTGTTCTATGCATACATAAATAATCTTTAAAAAAACGAGAATGGTGGTTATTTTACTTTTTCTTATCTATTTCACTTTGCCTAGTATATTCAGTGCTCAGCACAAAAGAGCTGCTGAAAAATCTGATTTAGAAAACAAAACAGACAGATGGAATTTATTTAGACAATCATTACATTTTCACCAAATACAACTGCATTCAGAAAAATAAGTGGCTCATTTTTTATATTAAAATATAAAACTAGACAAAACTTTACAAAGGAAAGCCTCTCCTAAAAATTTAGCTGATTTTTAATTGAGGAGACCACTTTAAGAAATTTAAGAGTGGAAAGGAAGTAAAAATGGGTAAATAGTTTCATTCAGTTGAAGCCTTTTGTCAGTCACAGCTGAAGGCAACAACTAGAACCAATTCAAATAACTTTGACAACTGATAAATACCTTCTGCTCCAGGGTGAGTTGATACTTTTGTTTAACTCTCTTACACTTGTTGAACCAACTATTCTCATCCGTGATGAATGGAGGTCCAACATTCTCTGGAGTGCTGCTTTCACTACCACTGCTTCCCAATGTCCTTAGTTCTTCCTCATCACTGCTGATACTACCAGAACTGGAGAGATTAATATATTTAAAAGAATTAAAGTTAATAATGTTACACGTTGATTTTATGGAGTATGTCTGCATTTGCAAGTTACTGGTAAGCAAACTCCAAAATATTTACCCTAAATAATATAATCATGATACTGATATATATAGACTTCCTGACAAAAATGACAAGTATGGGATGCTTACTCTATCTTACAAAGTCAAGTTTAGAGATGCCACAGATGTTCAAGTGAGGTTTATGGACACAGGAATTAACATTTAAACTATGGGACTGTCCTGAGAGAGAAAAGGTTTTCAAAGAAAAGAATCAGAAATTCAGTGTGGGGGAAAGCTTACTGCAAGTCCTCTGGTCCAAGTGGGACATATTTGTCCAATCCCACAGCAAAGAAGAAAAACAGTACTACCAGCCTAATCTCAGTAGAGTATGATATCAAGTTCAAAGTCAGCCCAGCTTTGGCAAAAAGCAGGTAACAAGAATCTCAGAAAAACTAGTTAGTCCTAAGCATTTTCTACTGGGGAAGAAAGAGAAGCAGAGGTGTAGCAGAAAGATTATCCACTAAAATACATTTCTAAAAATTTGAAAAACATCATCAAAAACAAAATTTCTTATGACATAAATATGGTAAAGGAGCCAGAATAAGGTGGAAACAGAAGAGGGGGAACTACTTGGAGAGGAAAGTATGGCTCTTGGGGTTAGAAGCTATTAATATATTTTAAAAGGCATAGGGAAAAATAAAATTCAAAATATAAGAAGTAATTACCACATATAAAACAGGTATTATAATATACATATATACTATACATGTATTTTATATATACCTACATAATATTATTATAATATACATATATAATGTACATGTATATTATATATACCTATATATAAAACCATTTATAAAGAATAAAAAGAAACAGATTTATTAGGGGAGAAAAACAACAAATACAAAAAGAAATTATAAAAACCATATAATTATGAACAATTATAATCATAAATCATCACATAATTCAACAACCAAAAGTGAGATGCTCAGGTTTGATTAAGTAAAAAAAAGAGCTAATAATAAGGTTACTACAAGAGACACATGAATACAGAACAAGTAAAATGAAAGACATGGAAAATACATTAAATAAAAAACACCAACCCAATGAAACTTAAGTCAGAAACAGTAATTTCATAGGTTAACATAGATAAAATATGGAAATGTCAAAAGGATGAAGGAAATATTAAATATATATTTCATCCTCAACAATCTGTGTGGTACTAGAGATGCCCAACATGCTGGCATCTACATATATTGCAAATGTGAATCAGAGGACTTCTACATTAAAAGAAGGTATAGCCAAGGAGATGTTTTTAGTCAGTGGTCTAGGAAACAAAGTAAAAAACAACACAAGCCAAAGTAAATTTGCCTGTCACAGGCATGGTTTGAGGTAAATTGGAGGTAAGAAAGCAATGACTAAAGCTCTGTTTTTGAAAAAAACATACAGATTCAACTTCTAAAAATGATTTTGACATTAAAATGAAGTGGATATCTAAAAAAAGCAGATGTAATTGTAAAAGGATTAGTAAAATATAAGATATATATGAAGAAATTAGTATTAACAAAGATTTTCAAAATGCTAAGAAAAAAATAACTGCTGCACTAGGATAGCAAAATAATACATCCAGAAAGAGGGCAGTACAAGCATATTTCAGAAAACTAAATTTTCATGAAAATGACTTCTAATGATTGTACTTGAAAATGAGGGGAAATGATCTCAGTTGGAATAGTAAACAAAAAATTTTAACTACAATCTACTACTCACCACCCATATCATTCTACTTGCCTTTCCTATATTACGATACAACATCTATCTCTGTATGCCATACTATATTTTCACTAATGTCATCAACATAATGAAGAAACTTTGCATGCTTCATTCACTTTTCATTTGCACTGGAAACTTTTCCTCAGCATTCAGAACAATGTCCAGGACATAGTAAAGATTCAATAAATACTGATTTTTTTTTTCACCTAGTAGCCACTTTCTAATTCTCTTTGTTTCACTGTACCTACACATTTATTCCTTGGTATAATTTCAGCAGTCAAAAGAAGTAGAGAAGATACTGACATGTTCAACCCATTATCTTTAACTGGTCCACTTTTTATAAATTGTATTTTTAATTATTTAGTCAACATAAGTTTCTAAGAACAATTCATATTAATGAACAGTTTACCTTAAATCACATAAACCTTAAAAGTTTAGTTTAATTTAAAATACTAAGAGGTAAATTAGGTTCATTTTAAAATGATATACTTAATAGTTAATCAGAGACAGAATTACACAAGAAAATTTAAATGCTTCACTTTCTGCATGTTCAGTAAATAACTGTCCACAAGGGTAGAATGAGAGGACCGCAATGGGAAAGTTCCCTGTAAGGACAAGGAAGAAGATACTTACCTACAATGATTCCAAGAACTTTACAAACATTTCATATACATCATCTCATTAATCCTCATGATAACTCCATGAGGTATTGCTCTACCATTTAACAAAGAATGACAATAAGAAATGATAAGTAATTTGCTCTAAGTCACCATAATAAGGCAATGTGGTATTACACTATACATTTTCAAAAAGGATTTATTTATTCATACAGAACTGGGGTACAAGCCAGAGGTGCAGGTGTGGTGAGAGGATTCACAAGAGACAGAGTGGAGAGCAGGATAGGCAGATCAATGATACATTGCTGAGGGGAGCAGCCAGAAGTCTGCCGCCTCATGTGGGTCACCTCTGGGGCCAGGTATCTAACTCATACTGAAGTGGCTTTAGCTTCTTAGTGCTGCGTTTTAACCCGATGCACGACCAGGGAGGGCCCACACTATACATTTCTAAGCAATTATCACATTGCCTCTCAGTATTAAATATCCAATCAGCAGATGTCCAAAAAAGCTGAATGGATAGTAAATAAGTAATTTAGCTAATAATGCAAATTTACACCTTGTCATAAAAGGTGTGTAATTTCTGCTGTGTTTTAGTTTTTATATCCTATTGACAATGAAAAGCATCTCTTAAGCCCTCCCTGGTGGCACAATGGGTTAGGATACAGCACTGCAAGCTAGCCGCAGCTACTTCAATGCAAGTTCGTTCCCCGGCCCAGGAGGTGATCCATATGGCATGGTAGACCTCTTCTGACTCCCTGCTCCTCCCCTCAGCAGTGTACTTCATTGATCTGCCTGTTTGCTCCCCATGTTTCTGTTGAAACCTCTCACTACCCCCACTTCTGGCTTATACCCCAGTTCTGTATGAATAAATACATAAATTTTTATTTTTTTAAAAAAAGCATCTCTTACTAAAAAAACATAAATTCTGAAAATATATTTTAGTGGAAAAAATGACACTTAAGCAGATCTTGGAGGTTTGTTCCCATGTTTTGCTGACAGTCCTAGAGGAAAGCTGATTAGTATAGAGGTACATCTATAACTGAGGAGGCATATATAAAGAGGTGAGCCAGTTGGGCAGGATGTACAGTGAAGAGGACAGTCTGGGAAATAGTGCTACCCCTTTGCCACCAGTCTTAGGACTTGAGTTGATTCCATGAAGTGATGCTGACAATGCAACCCACAACCTATAAAAATGCAGGGCTGGAAATCCAGACAGGTGGGTCATCAGTGCTACCGAAAACATGAGTCATACACATACACCATTTTTACCAGTGACAGGACTCTTTTAAGCCCCATTCCCACTTCCTGACTTTGCAGCTTCAGAACAGTTCTCTCTGACATAGAACATCATACATCAGTCCAGAAAAAAATTAAAATAAACAAACCCCAAAACACCACCTGCTGGAGAGTGGATTCACTGCACCCTTAGGACACGAAAAAAATAGCAAACTTGGCAAACAAACAAACAAACAAAAAAACTAGATACCTGAAGTTCTCAAAGAGCTATTTCACTGTAAAGAGAGAATAAGTCTCCAGAGAATAAGTGTGTGAGTTAAAAAAAAAAAAACGCAGAAATACAAATGGCTATCTTGAAAAATAAAATTAATGAACAGCACTCAGAAATGTATTTAGAACAGACCAATGGCATATTGAAACAGTGACCTTGAAGATGATAATGTACAAAGAATTCAGGTGGAAGAAGAAAGAGGAATATGAAGGGGTAAAATGAAGAAACATCTCAAATATCACCCAACTTCATGAGGAAAGGCAATATTACAAAGTGGGTATATTAAAAGGAGATAAGTGAAAGAAGGTAACACAAAAGTTATTCAAAGAAATAACAGAGACAAATTTTCCAAGCCTGGAGAACAAACTAAATATGCAAGTACATGAAGCTAAAAGAGCAACTGGTAACCTAAATGTAATGAGACCTACAACAAGACACAGCCATGAAATTTCCAAGAGTTCAGGACAAAGAAAGGATATCATGGGTGCCTAATGGGATAAAGCTGAGAACCTATACAACTACTACTATCAGGCCATATCCAACTATTATGAGTGTGAAACCCTATGGGCAAGGTGAAAATGGAATGATATATTCAATATAATTACAGATAAACACTGTAAGCAGGACAAAATGGCAACAGAAGACTCCTGGCAGCTCTTCCTGCCCACTTGTAACTTTCCTTTCCTGTCCCCTTTCTAATAAATTTGCTCTTTATAAATATATATGCATATATAAAAACATGAATCTACATATATACATATAAAACATGACTCCATACACACACACACACACACACATATAAAACATGATTCCATATATCAGTAATTACTCTAAATCAAAAGGCACAGAGTGGCTGGGTGGATCGAAAACCAAAATCCAACCTTTTGCTGTTTCTAGGAAATACACATGAACTCCAAATATAAAAGTAGGCTCAGATTAAAGAGGTGGAAAGTAATCCTATAAGCAAATGAGCACTAAGGAAAGTCAGGGACAGTCATATTTATATAGGATAAGTAGATTTCTTGCTAAAAAATAAAAGTAACAGCCCTCCCTGGTGGCGCAGTGGGTTAAAGCACAGCACTAAGAATCTAAGGCCACTTTCGCATGAGTTCGATCCCCACCTGCCCCAGAGGTGACCCACATTGTGCGGCAGACCTCTTCTAACCCACTTGCTGCTCCCCTCAGCAGTGTACTTCATCAATTGGCCTGTTCTGCTCCCCACTCTGTCTCTGGTAAATCCTCTCACTGCCCCTGCATCTCTGGCCTGTACCCCAGTTCTGAATGCACAAATAAATCCTTAAAGAAAATAAATAAAAGTAATAAGAAATAGGGATAGAACTATCTGATTAAGGTTAAGGGAACAATAAGTCAGGAATACATAACATCAGTATATATCATATAATGAGAGTGTTGAGATCAATTTCTCCTATGAATATAGAGACAAAAATCATCCACAAAATCTTAGCCAACCAAATTCAAGAATGCATTAATATGCTCACAAATAGTGACCAAGCAGAACTTATTCCAGGGACACAAGATGGTTCAACATCCAAAAATCAATCAATATTATTCATCACATCAATGAACGGAAAGATAAAAACATATGATCATATCAATAGATGTTGAGAAAGTATTGATAAGATTCAATATCCACTTGTCATAAAAACCCTCAGGAATATGGGAATAGATAAAACATAACAATATAATAAAGGTCATGTATGACAAACTCATACTTAATATCACCCTCAATGGTAAAAAACTGAAAACTTCTCCACTAAGATCTGGTATTCACCTTCATAACTACTATTTGACATAGTACTGGAAATTCTAGCTAGGGCACTTAGAGAAGCAGGAATAAAAAGAACCAAAATTAGGAGTGAAGTAAAACTTGACTATTTGCAGATGATGTGATATATAATGATATACATAGAAAAACCTAGACTCCATTAAAAGAACTAACAATCACTTCAACAAAGTTAATATACAAAAGTCAGCTGTATTACTATTGGAAAACAGAGAGCTAGGACAAAGAAATAAAAAAAACACTCCCATTCACAATCACATCAAAAAAGAATTAAAATCCTAGTAAGAAATTTAACAAAGGACTGAAGGAACTATATAATGAACACTATATGACATTGTTAAAAGAAATAGAAGATAATATTAAAAAAATGGAAAAATGTTCCCTGCTCATAGATTGGAAAAATTAGCATTGTTAAAATGGCCATCTTAACCAAAGAGAACACAGTCAATGCAATCCCTATCAAACAGGAATTTTTATTTTTGAATGATTTTTTTATATTGAATTATTTTTTAAAAATTCATTTTAGTCAGGTGAATATAATGCAAAACACAATATTCAATTAAAGATTTTAATAACATATTTAAAAATGTCAAAATACCTTTGGGTAAACTTCAAATATGGTGTATAGTCTATTACAGCAGGAAAGTTGCCATCCAATCCCTCTCCCTTTAAACAGAAGCTAAGACAACAGACATATGAGTTACACATATATATATTTATTTGTAAATTATTATATAAAGTTTTAAATAAAAGTTAAGTATCATAAAATATTTTTAGAGACATTTGTTTTATCAAATTGCAAGTGAATATTCTGTTTATAATTTTAATGTCACTTGTTACAGATAAGCTCCAAATAAATTCAAGAGAAAGCATCGCAAATATTAATACTATATTATGTAATGATTTCACATAAAAGTAAAAGTTACTGAGAGACTTGTTCAAATTTGGGATACATATTTGATCCTACCTTTATCTTCCCTGGACTTCTAAGAATTCACTAGAAGGCCCTCCCTTGTGACCAGGCACAACAGATTAAAGCACAGAATTCCAAGGTTAGCCTCAGCCCCCTCAGAACAAGTTCGATCCCCGGCCAGGGAGGTGACCCACATGATGCAGCAGACCTCTCCTGTCCTGCCTGCTGCTCCCCTCAGTAGCTTACTTCATGGATCTGCCTGTTCTGTTCCCCACTCTGTCTCTGGTGATTTGTCTCGTCACCCCTGCACCTCTGGACTGTACCCCAGTTCTGTACACATAAATAAATAAGTCTTATAAAATAAATTTTAAAAGGTTTTATGTCTTTTTAAAAAAGAATTCACTGGAGAATTTGCAAATAAAGAATTGTTCATTTTAGATAAAAATGTTCAGCTAACATGTAATATCTCCTGGAAAGATCTAACTAGAAAATGAAGCTTTTCTAAAATATTCGAATATTTAAGGTATAAGGCTTTACCTTAAAAGAATGATAAAAATCTAATCTCCAGCCAACCCTTTTTGTTGCTATAGCAACAAGATTTTCTCAAAGTCTGTTATAAGGTCAATAAAAAAAAATTCTAAGACTCTCAGACAACCAATTCAGTCATCTTTGTTTTTTATGATGCTATATCCAATTTGATAATTTTTAAAATAAAATTTATTCAGTCATTACTGTTATCAAAATAAAGTACATCTTCTAAGAATATAAACAGAAATATTTATAAGACATAAACTATTCAAAGAAGTAAATCCATCTATGAACTCCCACCTTCTGGTTTCTTTGGAAAGTTTGCCTATTGAAGCATTTGTTCTAATATATTAATATCAAGGGTGTGTATATGTACTTTTCAACATTTGAATAAGGTATAATCAAAATGAAAACAATTTACATGGGTATTCCTTTATTTACTGAACATTATTGATGTTTATAATGCTTTCAGCAGAATTATATAGTTTCAATGTGGTATACTATATCAACAGTTTACATTCTTAACCCAGAGTTTTGCTTTCTTTTAAATCTAAAAAAATAAATTTTGTACAGGGTTTAGACAAAGCCAACAGCATGCTATGCAAAAGTAAATACCATTATAGAAATAAAAAAGACAGCATTCATAATGCATCTATCATCTTCATCCTAAACTTAAGCTAGTAAATTTCATACTTTATTAAATTTTAAGTAGAGGAAAATTACAATTATCAAGTAAAAATATTTTGAAAAGGAAATCATTTGCTAGAAAAAGGTAATCTTGGTGAAAATGGGCATTATTTTTAATTCAAGACTGAAAGCAGGTTTTCATTTAAGTGTTATACTTACTATTGTTAAAATTCTTAAATATTTAAGAGATGTGGTTATAAAAAAATACATTTCCTTCATTTTTATATTTGAGTTCTTGTTATGGCCAGTTTTTTTAATTGTAATGTAAAATATTTGATCAATTAAATAAATTCAATAAAATGTTTCTAAAAATCTAAAAAGTGCTTATACTGTCCATTTTTAGTACTTCACCTAAACATGAAATCAATTCATTTTTTATAATAAAATCAAATATTAACATTTTTTATATTATGGATACATAATACAAATAATATAAAACACCCAGGGTATCTGACAGCTCTTAATACATGAGATAATGAAAATCTTTCTCACTCTGAATCTATTTTTTAGCATAGTTTCTTTTCATTTTAAAGCAGTAGCTAAGAAAACTTGCTAAAAATACTAAGAAATAAGATCCAAAACTTCCCCAGTGCTTCCAGCACACAGGGTTTTTCTACTTAGAGAAATGTAGTCTAATTTTGTTTGCCTAAGCTACAGAGTAAGCCTGTCAATTAACCCCTTAAATTTGACAGTCTCCTTTCTAATAGCATTTAGAAACCATCTAGAAAAATGATGTCATTTGAAAGGGAACAACATGAATCAAATATCAATGCATAACTATGTGATTTACTTAAACAACTGAAAGAACACTGTTAAGTATAAAGTATTACAAAGTGAAATAATTTAAAACACAAATGTATTTAGATTAAGTACCTGAAATCAATAGCATTGAGTCCAAGCAGCATGCCAGCCAGCATATTTGCTTCTTCACCCAAAACAATTGCTCCATCTTCATAAAATCTCCTGAGGAAAAAAAAAGGGTGAATATGTAAATATTAAAAACAGTGAAGTTTCATCTAGCAAAATCACTTAGATCAACTAAATTAATATATATATATACACACACACACATATATATGTATATATGTATATATATAAACTTGAATTACCCAAGTCATGTAGATACTTAGGGAAATAAATAAACTTTCATAAAACAACAAGAAAATCATCCAAAGCATTTCCATCTATCTTAAAATGATTCTCCAAAGTGAATCTTTTACTGGGCCTACAGTACCTAGAATTTTCCTTAATAGTGAGGCAATACAAATTTGTGCCCTAAAATGGCACAAATTCAGGATAATTTATATTGGTCTGTTTTCTATACTATGTAGCCTACTGTTCTCTATGAAGAATAGAGAATACTTTATACTTAACAGTGAAGAAATAACATATATATATTTTTTTATTTTCAAGAGTTATTAACTAAGTAATTAGTCAGTTTATGAACTGTTAACACTGCAATACTAGTAGCATGAACAGGCTACCAAGGTGGTTGCATTTGAAAAAGGAAGTGTTCATCTCTTTGAAAAAAGTCAATATAAACCTCTTCACTAATTCTTTTTAAAGATTTATTTATTTATTCATACAGAACTGGGGTACAAGCCAGAGATGTGGAGGGTGAGAGCATTCACCAGGGACAGAGCAGGGAGCAGAACAGGCAGATTGACAAGGTACACTGCTAAGGGGAGCAGCGGGCGGGTCAGGAGAGGTCTGCCTCGGCATGTGGATCTTCTCAGGGGCAGGCAGGGATCTAACTCCTGCGGAAGTGGCTTAAGCTTCTTAGTGCAGTGCTTTAATCCGCTGGCCACCAGGGAGGGCCTCTTCGCTAATTCTTATAAAGCCTTTTGCTTGGGTTAATGTAATGTTTTAAAAGACTAAAATTTTATGATATTTAAAATAAGTGTTTTGAAAAGATATAATATTGGTATAAGGCATTTTCCCACAATCTTCTTTAAAATCACTAAAATCATATTTTTGTAAAATTAATATCCTCCAACCAGGATATCTGATAACCAGGAATCATAACATTATTATATCTATTTATATTGCATATACAGTGCACACCATTCTATAAGATGCCACTAAGAGGAAAACATCTCAGTAAATGAAATTTGTCTTGTTCTTTTCTGTATTCATGAGCTTAGCTGAAACAAGTTTTTAAGATGCACATAATCTTACTTCAATATCCAACAGTTCACAGTTTAGCAAAAACTTTCAAGCATATAATTTGGTATTTGCAAAAACCTCAGGAAGTAAATGTATTAATAGAAGGAATTGTAATTAATTTCATATTTACCATCAAGAGGTTAAAACAGTCCACCCAAGCTCATATAGATGAACTAATCAAGTTGGAAACTGATTTCTTCTATTTCAAAGTTCTATATCATTTCAATTAAACAACTCTACACCTTATAAAATGAAGATTTACAAGAATTTACATTATGATAATAGTTCATGAAAATGTTATATGAATAAAAAGTTGAAAGATGAAAAAACACACAACTGCCCTCTGACAGATGTAAGGTTACAAACAAATACCGTGGGCGGATTACCTTGGAATAAATGTTTTCTGTCTTAGAAATAAGGGGACTGGATTTGTTGCTCTGTATAAAGGAAAAAACCTCAAATCTTCCACCCTAACAAAAAATCAGTAAAATAAGTAGAAGAAACCTTTATATATTCAACTGAGGTGTTCCACAAAAAAGGCAATACTATTTAGACTAATTATTTATGAGACATTATCTTTGCCCAAAAGACTAACTTGGCTATTGACAGAACAGTTTATTAACTCTTGGAAAAACAATGATTCCAATGATTGTAGACCATGTTCTATAAAACACATACAAAAAAGAGTTATGGATATTGACACTGGGAATCACCCATTATTCCTAATACTTTCCTATTTAAGGTTTTTTGTTTATTTTTTAAAGATTTATTTATTTGTTCATACAGAACTGGGGTACAAGCCAGAGGCTCAGGGGCACGAGAGACTTCACCAGAGACAGAGTGGGGAGCAAAACAGGCAGATCGACAAAGTACACTGCTGAGGGGAGCAGCGGGCGGGTCAGGAGAGGTCTG